GAAACATCCATGATGAGAGAGAATCAGGGATCGGCTGCCTCCTGCACGCCCACCTCTGGGGATGGAGCCCGCAACCCGGGCCTGTGCCCTGACCGGGAATCGAACCAGCAACCTCTTGGTTCATAGGTTGATGCTCAGCCACTGAGCCACACTGGCCAGGCCGTTCAAGAACCGTCACCGTGTCTGCTGGGAGGGCCAGCGTCTGGCGGGGTGAGGTGAGTGCCAGGGCGGACGGCTGGGCCGCGGGACGTGCACACTGCCCCTCGGCTCTGTCCTGTGCTGTCAGTCAGCAGCCTGTCCGTCTGTCCAAACAGTAAGGAAGCTGATGGTGCCGGACAGACACGTGGTTTGGGCTTGGCAGTGACTCTGGCATCAGCCACGTGCAGCCACCACGGGCCCAGCCTGACGCAGGTGCATTTCACTCGCAGGCACAGTGACCACACACCGGCCCCGTCCACAGCCGCCGGGGTCAAGGGGAGTGGACACGCCCGTGGACAGACAGGAGGCTGACGGTGCCACCGGCTCCAGAGGCCCGGCTCCGGGCCTCCCTGTTCCCACCAGGGGAACGGAGCTTCCACGAGGGAAAGGGGGAGCTGTGGGGGGAGCACCCCAAATGAGCACCAACGGGACACCCTGGCTCCCACCGCAGCCGCGGCCGCACCCCCAACACATCTGTGCTCTGTCCACTCCGGGAGGGACATCAAAGGATTCGGCCAAACGTTCGTCAGGAAACACATTAAGCGCTGGCCCAACTTGGTTCCACTCGGGAAAACGTGGATCCCTCCTCAGCAGCCTGGCCCCGCATCCGGAAAACGCCCTGGCCCTGGCCCTGGCCCTCGGCCCGCCCAGACTCCAGCATTTGTCATTCCCGAGCTCTGGTGACCACATGTCTCCTGGCAGAGGGAGAAGGTCAAGGAGAGGAAAGAGTGACCCGGCGCAGGGTGGCCCCCGGCCGGGCAGGAGCCACAGCAGGAGGGACGGCGAGGCCACACCAACCCGAGGGGCAGGGGCTGGGATCCCCCTCCAGACAGAGGCACCGAGAATCGTCTCCATGTGGCTTCGTTCCAGCCCGAGCCAGATGCCGATGACGGGGTGAGGACATGAGATGCAGAGCAGCTGAGCGGGCGCCCAGGGCCCGGGCTGAGCCCAGGGAGGAACCCGCCCATGGCAGCCTTTCTCGTCTCTGCCCAGCAGAGGGGCTGCAGGGGACAGGTCAGAGCGGGAGGGGACAGGTCAGAGCGGGAGGGGACAGGTCAGAGGGGGAGGGGACAGGTCAGAGGGGGAGGGGACAGGTCAGTGTGGGAGGGGACAGGTCAGAGGGGGAGGGGACAGGTCAGAGGGGGAGGGGACAGGTCAGTGTGGGAGGGGACAGGTCAGAGGGGGAGGGGACAGGTCAGAGGGGGAGGGGACAGGTCAGTGTGGGAGGGGACAGGTCAGAGGGGGAGGGGACAGGTCAGAGGGGGAGGGGACAGGTCAGTGTGGGAGGGGACAGGTCAGAGGGGGAGGGGACAGGTCAGAGGGGGAGGGGACAGGTCAGTGTGGGAGGGGACAGGTCAGAGGGGGAGGGGACAGGTCAGAGGGGGAGGGGACAGGTCAGTGTGGGAGGGGACAGGTCAGAGGGGGAGGGGACAGGTCAGAGGGGGAGGGGACAGGTCAGTGTGGGAGGGGACAGGTCAGAGGGGGAGGGGACAGGTCAGAGGGGGAGGGGACAGGTCAGTGTGGGAGGGGACAGGTCAGAGGGGGAGGGGACAGGTCAGAGGGGGAGGGGACAGGTCAGTGTGGGAGGGGACAGGTCAGAGGGGGAGGGGACAGGTCAGAGGGGGAGGGGACAGGTCAGTGTGGGAGGGGACAGGTCAGAGGGGGAGGGGACAGGTCAGAGGGGGAGGGGACAGGTCAGTGTGGGAGGGGACAGGTCAGAGGGGGAGGGGACAGGTCAGAGGGGGAGGGGACAGGTCAGTGTGGGAGGGGACAGGTCAGAGGGGGAGGGGACAGGTCAGAGGGGGAGGGGACAGGTCAGTGTGGGAGGGGACAGGTCAGAGGGGGAGGGGACAGGTCAGAGGGGGAGGGGACAGGTCAGTGTGGGAGGGGACAGGTCAGAGGGGGAGGGGACAGGTCAGAGGGGGAGGGGACTACAGGTCGGTGGTGCCGCACTTGGGCTGCCCGATGATGTAGAAGCGCGGCAGGCAGCGCAGGCGGTAGTGGCGCCCGGCCGCGTGGGCCAGGTGTCCCCAGAAGGCCTTGCGCAGCACGTCGAAGGTGGCGCGGAAGCGCTTGGAGTAGAGCGCGTAGGAGTTGGTCAGGTAGGGGTCCGAGGTGTTGTGCCCCGTGAACTCCTCGTACCAGCACGGGCTCCTGCTGCTCGGGAGGAACTTCCTGGGGATGACGGCGAACATCTGCGGCGAGAGAGGGAGGGGGACGGGCGGACGCGCGTTCAGTGGGGGGCACGCTCTGACGGGGACTCAACACCAGCATCGAGCAAAACCGGTGAGGAGCCCAGGACCCTGCCTTTTCTTAGCCCAAAATTAAAAAGTAAAAAAACCTTTGGAGTAAATGAAGGCGAAAGTTTGATCAAGAGTCACCCTAGCATGATTTATCTTTCACACACATGCACACGCGCGCACACGCACACACACACGACAGGCTAGGTAAACAGTGGGGGCCTTTTCACTGGTTGTATATTGAATGGAGACAAAAGTACTAATTAGGACAGAATGGAAACAGGAAGAGGGAGACCTAAAAAGCAGCTTTAGCCTGGCTGGGGGTGGAGGGGGGGGAGTAGAGCATCAACCTATGAACCAGGAGGTCACGGTTTGATTCCCGGTCAGGGCACCTGCCTAGGTTGTGGGCTTGATCCCCAGGGTGGGGCTGCAGGAGGCAGTCGATCCATGATTCTCTCTCATCGTTGATGTTTCTATCTCTCTCTCCCTTTCCCTTCCTCTCTGAAATCAAAAAATATATATCTTTTTATAAAAATACATCCTATCCTATATAATAAAAGGCTAATATGCAAATCTACCAAACTGCGGAACGACCAGTCGCTATGACACACACTGACCATCAGGGGGCAGATGCTCAATGCAGGAGCTGCCCCCTGGTGGGCAGTGTGCTCCCACAGGGGGAGAGCCGTTCAGGCAGAAGCCGGGCTCACGGCTGGCGAGTGTAGCGGTGGTGGCGGGAACCTCTCCCGCCTCCGTGGCAGCACCAAGGATGTCTGACTGTCCAACTAAGCTGGACAGTTGGACAGCCCCCGAGGGCTCCCGGACTGCGAGGGTGTAGGCCAGGCTGAGGGACCCTCCCCCGAGTGCATGAATTTCATGCACCAGGCCTCTAGTATATAAATAAAATAAAAAGCAGCTGAAATCGCCGTGACCACCTGTCCATCCCCCTTCAGCCGTCCAGCTGCACCATTTATATCGGAAAGTCCCTTCTCAGGTAACATTGGACAGACAGCTCTCCTGCGCACCCTGGGCCACAGGCGTCCGATTACCCCCGTCCCCTGGAGAAATTCTTCCTAACGATGCTGACAGAGAAGCATCCATTGTTCAAAACCCGCCCATCGACAGAGCCTAGCTGGCGGCTACTCACGTGGGGCTCCTGCCTCCTGAGGTCGTCTGTGCCCGGGAGCTGCCTGGCCGTGAACGCGATCCTGGCCGCGATGCTGTCGATGACTGACCTCAGGCCCGGGGCGTCCTTCGCGGAGGACAGGTTGCCTGCGGGCGGCTGGGGATGCGGCTC